TTATCTTTAGTACAGACATGGCATTGATGCAAATGTTCATCAGGCACAATAATATCACCACATCGAGTTTCACTTAAACATTTTTCCGAACAATAATATATAGAATAATCATTTTCAACAAAAAACATTTTTTGTGATGGACATTGTCTTGCTAATCGTATTCGATCGTGTAACTTATATTTAGGTCGAATAGCATTACTCCAATAACCAGTCGCTACGTCGACTGCTTCTTTAATTAAATTTTGTTCATCTTTCGATAATTTTGTAACACTTGCATCATAATGAATAAGAATATGAAACATATCTGACGTTGCCCATCGTTTAGCACGATGATGTGTTCTATTAGATACTGTTCTTACAAAACTATATTGCAATTGATGACGATCGGGAGAAGTATGTACCGAAACAAAACACTCGTGAATGATGACTAGTAAAGAAGTAAGAAGCGACATGACTAGTAAAAAAAATAAGAAGCGACATGACATAGTCGATGCCTACTTCGAATATGAAAACAAAGTCTCTTGGTAAGCTGTAATAAGCAAGTTTCTTCGTTGATATTTGAGGCGCGATATTTTTGTCGTCCTGACAGATCACGTCCTTTTCGTTCTCTTTTTTTTTATACGTTAAGTGTAAGAACAAAACTGAAGTCGTGCTCTGCATCTCGACGAGGAAACTTGCTTATTACAAATTACCAAGAGGTAAATGATCTTTACTGACCAAATACATGTTGCGATGACGAAATTGTGCGGGTTGGTGGCAACATCGACCTGCCAGAGCAACATCATTTTAATAAATAAAATGATAAGCTACTGAGACTATTTCGTCATAGAGCACGTGCTACCATACAACGGTGGAAAGATTTATCCTTTATTTTTACTCTGCATTGAGGATGTTCGAATTCTCTATCAATAGGCATGCAAGTTTATTTAGCTTCCAAGATGAGATGTGGAGATTCATAAATTGATATAGGCATTCTACAGGTCGGTTAAAAAGCTCCGTCAACGGTCGTAAACGATACAATTACGGTGAAATACGATGGTGGTGACGGGTGATCGTTTACGAATGACCGTATACGAGATAATAACGGGCAAATACGACGGCGTTTACGATGGTCGTTTACGGACCATTGTAAACGAGAGCGTAACGGTCATCGGAAACCCTCCGTATTTCAATCGTATTTACCGTACGGTGCCAGAACATGCGAGAACACACTTTCTTGGAGAATCATGTTTTTATTCTTAGTTCTCGGTCGAACTGTACCCATTATTGCGTTTTATTTTTATCCCGCTCTCCTTAACCTAAATCCCAGCGCCCTCTCTCCTACGCAGTAATATGCGCGTAAATTACACCAATCAGTGCATACATGTGATTCAGTTAGAATTAGAAATACTTTCTTTTTCTTCTTTGGATATTTTATTTTCGTTTAGATTATATGAGGGCATGAAGTCTAGTAACAGTAAGTAGAAGTTATATTTATATTATTTTATGTTTATTTCTAATTTTTACTTTAGATTTAATTTTATTTGGATTTTTACTTTATTTTCAATTTTAATTTTTACTTTCATTCTAATTTTTATTTAATTATTTTAACTTTTTCTTTATTTAATTTTTATTGAAATTTATTTTTTATTGTAATTTTTTAATTTTAATTTTATTAAATACATTTAATTTCGATCTTATTTAATTTGTATTCGTTGCAAA